GCACCGCCATCTCGCCAGCAGCTCTCAGAAATATAATTTTTTAATATTGATTTTGTATCTCACAACCTTGCTAAACTTGTTTATTCTGCTTTTTAGCAGGATTTTCTGCAAATAAGATTATGTTATTTACGAATAATCTTCCTTTTCAATCCAAATGCCTCTAATTCCTTTTTGTGTGTGTGTGGCTCATTTCACTGGCTTCCAGTGCAATATTAAATAGAAGTGACAAGAGTGGACATCTTAACTTGTTCCCAATCTCTAGGGGAAAACATTCAGTTTTTCACCACATTATAAAGTTTTCTTAGATGTTCTTCAAGTTAAGGACCTTGACTTCTGTTGCTAGTTCAGAGTTTTTTCCGATCATGAATGGGTAGTGGATTTTGTCAAACCCCTTTCTCCACCTATTACGTGATCATGTGCTTCTTTCTTTTATTGAAATACTATGGTGTAGTTCATTACAGGCTGTCCAGAAATAGACTATGAGCCAAATTTGGCTCACAGGCAATAGTGTGCTGATTCCTGTACTATATAATTGGTGGGAAAAGTTTTAGAAGGGTATGTATCAAAGCCTAAGCAATGAATATTTCAAAGGAGTGGCAGGTTTAATGAGTGGCATTAAATTTGTATTGTATACACTCATATTTTTAAACCAACTTATACATTTATTTGTGTAGCATTTATGATTTTGAAAACATAATGCCCATTAGAGATAAGGCTGAATTATTAAGTTTTAAGAATCTCAAATCCCTCCAGACTTTTTCTTCTTACCCAACCTTATAGCTTTTCCTCAACTTACCAACAGCGTATCTCCAACTTCTCCATAAAGTAAAGGTCCCAGGATTCCTGATTCATATTGAATAGCTTCACGAGTTTTAAATGTTTCATTTGTGTATGCCATAAATCGGACTTTTTTGTACTTTCTACCAATACGCTGAGGACCATTATTCAAATATAGACTTTTATAACTGCTGTATGAGAAACAAAAAGATGAGAGGTTGAAATGGAGAATTCTAGGGAGAGGACAGGTAGCTAAAATCCAACTCTAAAACAGCTGAATGATTTAATCAAGGAAAAGAGTGGGAAAAGTACAAGCATCCTTGATGCTTAACTATTTTTTTAAATTAAAACTTTATTGTTGAAAGTATTACATGTCCCCTTCTTGCCCCCACTAACCTCTTCTAGCCTGCCCCAGCCTGTCCCAGGCTTTCACCACCCTACTGTCTGTGTCCATGGGTCATGCATATATACGTACAAGTTCTTCGGTTGATCACTTCCCACGTACCTACCCTCCCCCACCTTTCCTCTGAGATTCTGCATTCTGTTCTATGCTTTTATGTCTCTGGATCTAGTTTGTTCATCAGTTTATTTTGTTCATTCGATTCCACGTAGGAGTGAGATCATGTGATACTTGTCTTTCTCTGACTGGCTTATTTCACTTAGCATACCACTCTCCAGGTCCATCCATACATTCCTGATGCTTAGCTATTTTAGTTTCCAAACATATTAATGTACTTGACATTTGACATCATACCTGCACCTACCTCAAATGTGGTTTGAAGATTTATTGTTTTGAATAACTAGGAAGAACTTTTTGAGTATTGGGAAGAGATAGTAGCAAGAGTCAAAAGGTGCTTACCTGTCATTGGGGGAGGGGACTGAGGGAGCATAGTCCCAGTCCTCCTCTTCAGCAGCAATATAGTGGACCCAAGTTTTAGGATGCTTCTTGGCAACTGAGCGGGCTTGGATAAAGGAAGAAGGGTCATCATCATCAAACCTGACAAGATCCATGTCAGAGTCATAAGTATCATCATCCTCATATTCCTCTTCTTGGCTATTTTTCTTCCGTAGTTGGGGTTCCTCTGGGCAGCTATCCACTTTAACATAAGCTTCCATACCATCTGGAGTCAGACAAACAAAACAATGTCAAATTCCTACAAAACTTTCTTGCCTTAACTTCTGGCATCATTCTCTGTCATTAGGCCTTCAAGGCCCTCCCTCTTTTTTTAAAAAAAAGTATTTTTATTGATTTCCTAGAGGGAGAAAGAGAAAGAGACAGAAATAGAAACATCAATGATGAGAGAGAATTATTGATCAGCTGCCTCCTGCATGCCCTACATTTTCTCATAAAACATCTCTTCAGCTATGTATGACCTGCCATCTCTCCACAGTATCAAGGCTGAGGTAATGGGATCAGGCTGGAAAACCAATAATATACTGTCCTCCTCACTTTTGCCACTTCATTTATCCTGAACCCATCTACCTTGCCTCTATCACAGGTATCTAACTAAAATGTCACCAATACTACAAGTACTCAAGCCCTCTTATACTCAAGGCAACATTTTTACTCTGAAAGCTGGCAACCAGGGAATCTCAGTTGAGGTCTAACATAGTCCTATACTGGACAGTGGACAGAAAATGTAATTAAAGTAAGAGCTGGATACTTATTATACTAGTTTTTAAGATCCACAAGTATTACCATGTTGGTGTGAAGAGATATGGCAAAACAGTAGAAACTGGCCAAGGTCCATCAGGTGTGTCTGAGCAGTAAGGAAAGTTATTGGTGAGATCTCCAAGGAGGCCTGTCGATGGTTCCTCACAAGAAATGTGTGACCTTCAAGGAAAATTGAGTGCACTTCGGGGGCGGTGCCCATTCCAATCACATGCCAATAGACCAATTTCTTGTGACATCCGATCAGACCTGTAAAGTTGTAATAAGATAGCTATGGTCATGAAGTAGAGAAACTGAAATGGAAAACATTTTCTAAGATAGGATGGACAGCCTGGCTGGTGTGGCTCAGTGGTTGCGCATCGACCTATGAACGAGGGGTTCACAGTTCAATTCCCAGTCAGGGCACATGCCGGGTTGTGGACTCAGCTGATCAATGATTCTCTTATCATTGATGCTTCTATCTCTCTCTCCCTCATCATTCCTCTCTGAAATCAATGAAACATTTACAAAAGAATAGGATGAACAAATTGACCTTATAAAGTTTATTATCTTGACTTGGACCCAAACTTTCTAAGGACTCTGAGGTACTGTGAAAGTAACAGCTCTTGCCAGAGTCAGGAATGATTGTCATGCTGCTAATTCCAATGGGTATTTCTTAGTTTTCATTTGCACCTGTTGACCATTCGTTCCTTCTTGTGATTCTCTCCTTCACTGGCCTCTATGCCAACACCTCTCTGGGTTTTGTTCCCCTGTTGTTTAAAGTGCTTCTTCTGTCTCCTTCCTTGATCCCTCCTTCTCTACTCACCCATTAGATGACAGATCACCTCAGTGCTCAGCTTTAGGCCTTATTTTCTTGTTGATCAATATTTTCTCCCTGATCAATAACACTGATTCTCATGGTGTTAATGATCATACATATGCTGATAACTCTCCTGTTTCAGACCTCTCCCGTAACTCCCAGACTCATACAACTACCTTTTCACTATCTTCACCTGGATTATTTCATAAAACCCACACACCCAAAATCAAATTTGAGATCTTTATTACCTCATCTTCTTTCAGAGAGCCTCATTTCAGTGACTGGTACCATCCTGCATTCAATTATGTGAGAGTTATTACAGTCTTCACTCTCACTTTTTACATTCAATCTAACACCAATTGTGACAATGTGATTAATAACACTAATATTTACTGAGCATTTTTTCATTTCAAGCACTGTCCAGAGTCTTTTCCACGTTTTAACTCATTCACTCCTCACAATAACCCTATGAATGTAGAAATTACTATCATCCTTCTCTTAGAGGAAACTCATGCCCAGGGAGGTTCATTAACTTGCTCAAATTTGAACCCAAGCAACTAAATATTTAGATATCATACTGTTAACTACTAGGGCACAGCTGTTTTCTATTTTGGCTCTCGGAGCCTTCAAATATATATATATTTTCACTATTATTACTACTCGAACCATCTTAAGCCAAGCTAGCTACCATTATCTCTTACCTGAACCACTGGAATAGCTTCATTACAGGTCTTCCCACATCTGGTCATACTCCCTTCCAAGCTTTCCACTCACAAGGAAACTTATGTGGTATGTTTGCATTTCAGATCTGATTGTAGTATTCTTCAGCCCAAAACCCTTCAGTGACTCCCATTCCATATAGAATCAAGTCCAAACTCTCTAGGAAGGCCTAGAAATCCCTGAATAGCTGGATCCCTGTACCTCCCCAGTCTCATCTCACATCACCTCATTTCCCTATTCCCAATCTTGTTTCAACACTCAATATAAATGGCACTTCTTTAGGGAAGCCTTCTCTGATCCCCAGTCTAGATCAGTCTCCTTTACTGTATGTTCACATATGATTATGCAATTTTCCTTCGAATTCTTGGTTTGTAATTTTGTATTTATTATTATGATTATTTGATTACAACATGTCTGCCTATTATGCTCTAAGCTATGTGAGAGCAGGGACTTTCATGATTTGAAAGTTAATTTTTTTCTAATTCTAAGATCATGCATATTCATGATAGAATTATTGGAAATACAGCAAAGAATTAAGGGAATACCTGAAGGAAGAAGATGGCGGCGATATAGGCAGACGCGTCCCAGGTCCTGTCCCGGAGCAAATGGAGTGAGCAGCTGAAACTAATAGCACCCACCCCGAATTGGTGAAATTGCTCAGCTGGTGAGACAGTTTGCAGCCGGGAAGGGCAGAACTCCCTTGGAAAGGTTAAAAAAAAACAAACACAGGGATTTGGGCAGGAAACTTTGCCAGCCCTCTGAGCCCAGAGGGTCGGAGGGAGCCCGCGTGGCAGACAGCCGCGTCCCTTGGGACAGGCACAGCCCCTGACGGGGGAGAGGCGATCCGCGGGCTTCCTGGCGCCGCCGGGGGA